CTGTTCGTTATCTGGGTATCTCCCGCCCTTATCCATGCACCAGGCATGGACACCCGATCTGCTCCCATCTGCCTTTCTTTGCTACACAGCCACTGTCGGTCTGTTTCCCATGCTCCTGTCACATCTGCGCCTCTCCCTGGCGTCCATCCCTTTTTCCTTCCGTCCCTTCCCCCTCCCACCCAGCTCTCTGTAATCCCCCGCTCCCCCGCTGCCCCACACCCAGTAGCAGTAAGGTAGTTACCACAGCATCGGCAGAGTTCTGGCGGCACACCGCTTTGCACCCGAAGGCTGCCAGGTAAATGGAAATGGAGAACCCCAGGGACGTTAAGATCAGGACGATGGCCCGCATGCCTGTGCAATAGTGCTGGGAAACAGAGGAGATGGAGAATCACTGACAGGCCTCTGGCAATGTTCCCTCTAATTTTTTCCATCCACGTACAGATTTTTTTCCATCACGTGAGGAATAAATATGATTATGTGCACAGAGGCATGTGTGGATGTGCACCACCAGTAGAAACACCAGCCTAACGGCGGGCACTCTGCTCATCAGCTTGACAGCATTTGAATTTATCCTGAGCAGCCGCCCAACCACCCAACTGACAGTGAAGGCTACAGCCCCTGTCCTCAGGAAGCCTCCAACAGGAAGAGGAATTTCAGACACTAATGAATCCCCCATCTACCTCAGGGGACAATTCCAGAGGGGACCGAGATGAAGCAAGAGCCTGAGTTCTTCAGGGGATAGAACTCCTCCTCCAACTCCCATCTCTGCTCCCATCTCAGCCAGCTGGCTGCCACATTCTTGCCCTTGGAGGAGGCATCAGGCACCCACCGAGAGTTGGTACAGCCGCCTGCAGTGCAACCTGTTGCTGGAGGAGCACTGGATGTACCGGTTACGGGGGTCATACACCAAGTCCACCAGGTAGAACAGGTTGATCATGCCCACCACCACTGTGCAGATGATGCAGACGACCAGGCAGGCTTTCACCTGCGGGAGGAAGGGAGCTGGTTGTCGCGGCTAAGAGAAGGAACGGCTGCCCACTCTTCTGGGCTGGGAACGGCTGTAGCTCGGAAACCCCGGCTTGCCTGCTAGAGTCCTACCCATGTACAGAGGCAAATTGCCCCATGACCACCCCCTAGCAGCCCCTCTCTGGATCCATCTTACTGGGCTCAGCCTTCTTGTCCTGACTTACCCTTCCCTCCCAACTGGCTCTGCCTTGCCTCTCCTTTGGGCGGGGCCAGGATCACCCCTTCTCTTCCCTAGGACTGCCCCCTACCTGGCTCTGTCCCCAGGTCTGCCTGTGGCACCAACTCCCCTTCATGCAGCCGAGCCTTGAGTACCCCAGCGGCCCCTCAGAACACCGCCACCCATGGGGTTCACCTCAACCGCTGGTCCAGGCCCGTCTCCTCCCAGTGGCTTCACCCTCTCCCCCTGCACCTTGCTCACTGAG